ATCCTATAATAATTAAAGTTGTTTACTTGTTCAATACTTTTTTCGTTTATCAACTACTTTAACATCTGATATGGTTTTTTCCCCGGGGAATGCCATTGTTTTTGTTTTAGAGCGTTGATATTCTTCCAGTTATAATTTTCTTCCTGGTTTAACTCGAGGTAATGGGCAGCCTCTGTAGGTCGTCTTTCTGATAGTACTAAAAATGGCCTGGTCACTCTGGCAAATAGTGAGTAGTGTTTAAAATTGTATTTGCTTGATTTTAAAAATGTGTGGTAGTTTACTTTGCCATTTCTTGAATAATATGATCGGATATATATATTTAAAGGGTCGGAGACATCGGGCAACTCTTGTTTGACTCCTTAGGTTTGTAATATTCAGTTTAGTTGTTCGCCTGTTCCTTTGGTCAATATGTCTGGATTAGTGGTTTTAAAAATAAGCTGCTTTGATGGTTTCTATGATGTGGTTAGGGTATCCACTATTTACGCATAATACTCTATAACTTATTCCGAGAGAACTTTGTCAAAGGCCTTTTCAAAGAAGACATTAGAAGACATTACACTATATAATAAACTTAATTTGCAATGTGAATTTAAAATCATAAACTTTATACACACATTCAAAAATAAACTGAAAGCTTTCCTGTTAAACCACACATTCTACAGGACAAAAGAATACATGCATCATAAACACGTCAATATAAACTAGTACTATTAATTTTGCATTTTCTGTTGCATGTTTTCAAACCCCCTAAACTGGCTTTTGGATAAAAAGGACGGTCCCAACCTGGGCACGAATCTATGAAGAACTTCATTTTTTTATTATTATTATTGATTTTTAACTGAAGTCTTCTTTCACTTCCATGTATACAATTAATTAACTTTCAATGATTTTGTATTTAATAAGAGAATTGAATTTTTAAACTTAATTTATGTATTGTATTTAAATTTTAGAAATATCTGTATCGTGTATTGCATGATTACATACATATCCTGACTTAATAATAATATTATTATTATCATTATTATTGTTATTATCATTCTTTTAAAATCAGATCAAACATCAGATAGAAACTAGGTATCTCAAGCAACAGAACACAATGAAGTAAAACCTAGTGTACTTTTATTTCTGTTGTAAATGTAACATTTTCTGCATTTTTACAAAAAATATGCAACATTTCTCTGATAAAACCAGCATAAATACCATGGTGTTCAAATTGTAACTAAAGAACAAATAAATTAGGCTCCAGGGTCAAACATATTCTAAGTAAAGCAATTAATTAAAAGCAGTAGGTTTCAAATTTAACTATAGTTAAAACTAAAACTATTAAATATTACATAACTACCTAATTTACTGAAACCTACTTCTTTTCAAAGAATTTCTGACCCTTACACAGAACTCATTTATCGCATGCTTACTCAGCAACAGTTTTATTAAATTTTGTATCTCAGAGCAATGCTCTTTACAACCAAACAATTGAAAATATGAATTTTGACAAAAATGTTTAAGTTCCTCAAGAAGTGCGTCCTTTGATTTCTAGAAATATGAAAATTTTCACAGATATCTCCCAGAATGATTTTATAAGAATATCCTTTGGTTTGGATCATACACACACAACATTACTTCCCTCACATGGAGGAGTATGGTGGCAATAGATAAAGGACACAAAACAAGATCAGATCAGGAATTTTGTTAAGACTTTTACTGGTATTCGTTGCTGCCTCATCAGATATTAAAGGATCGTCTATGGGGTCTAAAGGCGTTGTGGTGATCCAGGCACATGTCTTCACTTCCTCTCCCCCTTCAAGAAGGTGAATTGTCAACATCACAGACATGAGAGTGTTGCTCCTACACTCCCAATCTTGCTCACAAATTCATGCAAATTAGACAAAACATCTGCATCATCATCTTTATCGCAGTTCAATTTACCATTGGCACCAATCATCACATTCAAAAAACATGATGTCAAAACAGAATTAAAATGCAGAATCGTAGGGTGGTTGCTGCGAATACCACACTGCCTCACAACACTGAAGAGATTCTCAAGAGGATCTTAGTTGAGTTGCCAACGATGTCACTCCCAAGGCTCTGAGCATTCTTCACCATGAGGAAACAGCGCCGATATTTCGACATCATGCCTCCTTCACCTTAGTGCAAGCAGACTTGCCATCTCCATCAACAAACTGCCATGAATTCAGTTTCCTTTTCATACTCTGCCAAAATTCTAAGTTTTGAGATGTTAGTCAGTGGTCTTCTATAAAAGTGAGTGTAATGAAATTTCTAACCATTAAGAGAATCAAAGACACAAGTGATGTCATTAATAAATTCAACCAAATACTTGGCCCCTTCCACACCACATTTATAAAGTGCATTAGCAACAGTTAAACTCAAAACCTGAGCAGCTAACTTCACTTTCATTCTCCTTTTGGGATAAATATGTTCATTTGTGATATTCCCCATGTTCTTATTATTTATTTTTTTCCCCCAATTCAAAAAAGTCCACTAAAAATTGCCAACTAGTTTCTTTAACTTCTCTACTATTTGTTTTAAAATTAATTTTGTTGTTCAAAAGAGCATTTCTTGTTGCTTTGAGAACATGAGAAGGGTCAACAATTACAATAATTTCACAATTATTAATTTTTAAAATTGGTCTATCACAATTGCAGGTTTTTAAGGCCAAAATTTTCAAGCAGCGAATGTTAGTTGATGCCCGGTCACTCACAATTGCCACAATATTCAAACCAATTCTTTGTAAAGCTCCAGTGGCATCCATAATTATCATTTCTAAATCTGTGATTGAAATTGTACCATGAGACAAATGGTATGCTACAGGTTGCTTCCAATTGTCAATGAGTCCACGAACCATAAAAACCTAAGCATTGTATACTGACACCTAAATTGGGAACCTAAGTCTTCATAGCCAAATATATAATTTCTGGACGGACTAAGTGTTACTTTCTTCTCAATTGACATTTCATCAAAAAAAGAGAACAAATTTTTGAATTTGGAGTCATACATTTTAATTGATCCTCTAAATGCTGAAGCAAAACATCATCTAGGCCAACATGAAAAGGAATGTTATTGGAAAGTTGGAGAAGAGTATCAGGAGAAGGAAGTAACATGAACTTCCTGAGGCGTTTATGTGCCTGAAGACTAGTTACGAAGGGCTAAGCAAATTACTTTAACTTCTGTAGACCATCTATGACCAAAAGGAGATTTTGATTTGTTGCTGAGCTGAGCCTTATGGAGTCCATAAAACAGATGTGAAATATGTTCCCCAATTTCATCTGCAAGGCTGTTCCATTCCTTCGTTTTCATGCGCATAGACAGTACTTTGTCCTGAAAGAACTTCACACGCTCTGGCAGATGTTTGATTTGCGCTCCTGAAGGTCACGATACATCAGACGCTCACGAGGGGTGAGACAGTATATTGAGGGGTGAGATCACAAGTTGCACCAATGGGTAAATCCGGAGTTAAGGGTAGCACCGGTCCTTTGGTTAATGATTCGGTTCACCATTTCTCGTGATTCACAAGATTATAGTTGCGCAGTTCACTTCAATCACTAGAGAATACTTTTGCTTTTAATTCATACTCTTTGTCCGTGCCACATTGTAATGAAAATTTAGCTTCAAAGGCAAATTTTCCCGCTTCGCTCGGCCGGATACAAGTCACGGCGAGGGTCGGGCCTTTGGCCCTCCCGTTCACTATAAACATCCTTGAGTCTATCCAACGCATAATTACCAATTCACTTTTAAAAGAAAGCACTTTTTAAGAAAGCCTCCACAATTCAAATTGCGCAGTTGCCGCCGGAGCGGTGTGAAGTGCTAGCGAACTGATTCTTCTTGTGAATCACGAGAATCGGTGAACCAAAGGAACCGGTGCCACCCTAAACTCCGGATCAACCCTCCAATGGATTTAAGAATCCCACCACTTTGTAAGCGAGACTGAGAGCTTGGGGTTGATGGTTCTGTCTGAGGATCATGCACTTGCCATTTCCCAGATGGCGTTGCGACTTCAGGTGAGGGAGAAGTGGCCCATTTCCTGATGTGCTGGATGCCACTATCTCTTCCTCACCTTCCGAGACGGGCGGATCTGCAAGAGCTGTTGCACAGTGATAAAAAATTAATTTTCAGTTAAAAAAATATACAAAACATAAATCTCACTTAAAATAAGGTTACCTAATATTTGTGAGACTAATGTAATGGATTCCATTGCTGTAGCCAATCTTGCAGAATCTCCTATAAAATAAATCAACATTTAAATATCTCGGTGAAATAATTCAAACCAAATGTACATGGTTCAAAATCACGAATATAATTGGCAGCAATTTGCAGTACATCCTAAAGACTACAATTTTTTCATTTCGTAACCTGTGATTTTCTGTATTTTTAAAAGATTAAATGAAAATATAATCACGTAAACATGGAACTGCATCATATCGCAGTCTCCTTTTGGAGGCAACAGCAAAGCAAATCCTCAGCCCTGAATTGGGCACTGCATATACGCCTGTCACGGAATTCATTCGCCATCTGGGATCCCTGCAAATTCCCTCCATTTTTGCAGGACAAAAGGCCTTGTTATTTCGGAAGGGAATCTGTGGAACGAGATTCCTTTCATTGGTTTCTCGGTGGATTTGAAGCTAACGTGGCAAACAACAGGTAGACATCTGGAAACAAACAGAAGACATCTTGCTCTGCACTATATAATAAATTTTCATGTATTACGCTTTAATGATAATGGGTTAATAATAACATTAATGATTTATAATAACACCTAAGTCTTACCTCTTAACAGGACCAAAAAAATTGCAAGTGTTCTCCGACGTCACAGACCGTGAAGAACCCAACAGCAAAAGAAAGACTGCAGTCCCTCAAAACATCTTTGTCCTCCGCGGACTTCGATGTCTTCGGTGACACTCGTTTATTGTCGGTCGCATTCGTGTCCTTCGAATTCGCTTTCTCTTCCTAACTCTGCGACTGCAGGGCCTCCTGACGGGCAGGATCCCAATTAATCGTTACCGAGAACAACACATGCCAGTTCCAACTGGTTCCAACCAAAGAGTATATATCCAACACTGTTAAGCTAGAATCCCCACCCCAGCCCAACCCCAGCTTCCAAAGAGTGATAAGCCTGTTTTACACGATTATATCTTCATTTTTCGCTGGTACAGAAAAGAAACAGACTATTCACATGTCTTGTGTGTTTTTTTCTACAATCGTCGACGTAACATTAGTAAAGCCCTTGACGTTTAAAAGACATAGCTTCCTTTAACCTATTTTTAGTTTTCGGCACCACACTTTGAAAAGTCTACTTTATCAGAACTTTATTCGTAATAAATGTGATTTTTATTTTTGAGTCCTATGATTACATAAGGCTTATTTGAAGCTGTTTGAAGAGTGGGGTAGTATCGTGAAATATGATTTGAAATGCGCCTAGGCATGCCAGAAATTCTCTCTTGCTTTTGAAGTTTTTCGTCGAATCGCATTCTCTAAAGAAAAAGATAATCCACTGCTAAAGTTTGCTAACAAGTTTATGAATTCTTTGTTGCATTGTTTTTTCCAATTTTAAGTGCAATAATCAAATTACTACAAAGTAAAACAAACGAAAAACAACTTTACAAAAAAGACAAGGAAAGTTGCATTTAGTGACAGCTCAAATATAAGGGATTACCTGCCAATATTTTTATTATGAATATCATAATGGCAAATCATTCATCTTGGTGCATTTGAGTAGGGTCCATGATATGCTTTTGTTTCAACTGTAAAAGCTTTATTGTGTCTATGAATTAGAAAAGTCAGTTAAATAATAAGGATGAAACTGTTGTCATGGGTGAGAATTATTCTTTTAAATTAAACTTCAAGATTTAACTATTGTTCTTTTTTTATTTCAATTGAGAATTTATTTTAAATTGCCATTTATTTTGTGTTCTGTGCAGTAACTTCATTTATGAACTTTTATAGGGAGCAAATTCATACAGCCAGCTTGGTCATGGCGGAATATCAGAACAATGTACATTTCCTACAAGTATATCTGATGAGGACGAGAGATTGAATCTTACGCGTGTTGTTGATGTGAAGTGTGGAGGTGGTCACACTTTAGTTCTTGATAAAGATGGAAGAATGTTCTCTTGTGGCTGGAATAGTAAAGGACAACTGGGTTTGCCAGTTAGTTCTGCTTCGTTGTCTCTGAAATGCATGACGTGTGTGGAAGACTTGAAAATTTCTCATATATGCTGTGGATGGGAATCAAGTTATGCTGTGACATCAGGCAAAGAATTACTCGTTTGGGGTTCAAATTCATTTGGTCAACTTGGACTAGAGAGGAGAGAAGTATTCACACCTTTTACATCAGTTCTTTTATTCAAATTATACCAGATTTTGATGTCTCTCTTAAGTTAATTCTTTCTTGGTTTTAGATATTTTTATCCTCAACCCCTCTAAGACTTTCTTTGCCACCAGTAAAGACATTAGCAACTGGGTTAAGGCATACAGCAATTGTCACTGAAAATGGAAACATATTAGTTTGTGGGAATGGCCGAAAGGGACAATTAGGCCTAATGGGAGATGATGGTGGCCCTCTTTTTGAAGAAACAAGACCTCACATCAGTAAACACATTTACCTATGTACTCTGATTCAAGCTTTGACATAATAAATAATATCCCTATTTGTTTTACAGTTCCTGATGTAAGTAATGTCACTACTGTTGCATGTGGACAATATCACACAGTAGTAATAACAGATGAAGGTCGTATGTATGCTTGGGGTGATAATAAACATGGTCAATTAGGCCTAGATCCTACATTACATCCATCTGTTTTCAAACCAGCTGAAATACATCTCTTTGGAAATGAACAGCTGCCTTCTGAATGCAGTATTGTGTGTGGTTGGACCCATACAGCCTTGGTCACTGGTGAGTAATAATTCTCACACTTTCAGTTGTGCATTTATAAAATGAGAAATTTTCCTTTTTATTAAAATTTTTTATAGGAAACGGAGATATATATAATTGGGGGAGAAATACTTATGGACAGCTCGGATGCTGTGGATATGAAAGATCAGTTAATTGGCAACCACATAAGATGGCCAATATTCACCGAGTAAAACAGTTGGCAGTTGGATCAGAACACAATATTGCTTTATTGGGTATAATCACTTTCATAATTCCCTTCATTATATTTGTGAAATGTACAGAAATAGAGATAATTTCATAACAAGTGTGCACCAATGTGTAATATAAATAATTATTTTCTTTTCAATACCGTTATAATAATTTGTAATAATTAGTTAGCCGTCTTTGCTTTATTTACAGATTCTGGAGAAATTGTTAGCTGGGGTTGGAATGAGCATGGAAATTGTGGAATTGGTACAGAAATGGATGTGACTGAGCCAACACATGTGAAAATTGATGAACATTATAAAGCAGTTCTTGTTAGTGCTGGTGGAGGTCATAGCTTTGCCTTAATTGAAGATTAATTGTTTAAAGTTACTCTGTGATTTTATTTTAATTATTATGTTTGTTTTAAAAGCATAGTTTTTTAATGCATGTAGTTTTTGTGTAAAAATAAATATTATATTACTTTAATATACATTAATTTTTATTTAGTACATTTTCACATCCTTCTATAAGAAAAATGGAAATTTATTTACACCAATTTTTATTTTATTTTGTTTTAAAGTAATAGATGTACATGTTAGCTCCTGATAATGAGTTGGGTGTTGTATTTGCCACATTTAAAAACTAGGATTTGAATTTCAAAAATGTATTTTAGTGCTCTATCTTAATATTGATATTCTTGACATATTAAAAGAGTATTGACGTATGTAGACGGATTACCAAAAAATCAGGATGTCCTTAACATCTTACTATTCAGCCTTTGAGGAATTATTATCATCTAGGTGTGAATTGATGTGGGGTCCCTTCTTAGAGAGTTAAATGTCCCAGCTGGAAGAGTATTAATTTGTCCAGTGTCATAATTGATCCATAACAAGGTATTTCATTGGATTTGAATTTACATTCTGAACTGTTCAAATCAGAAAGTTCCATTAGAATGTTCTTAGGAATATTCATAGTATGCTATGTGAGCGAAGTGTCTTTGTTTCATTCGTAAGTCCTAACCGGACAGGAATTTCCAGAAACCCGAAAGGTTTACGAAAAGATGGAAGGAGGAATTCAGGAAGAAGTTATCAATGTCGAAATCTGGACTACAGGTGGTAGGTTATACGAAGTGGTGAATTTGCCATTTTTGAGGCTCCAAGGTAAAATATTTTTGAGACCACTTTTTACTGTCAACAATAACATTTTTGAGATTGGAGATTTTAACATTTTTATTCAAAATTAATTAAATAATTAAACATGTTTTCAAATAATGGTACTCAAATTTTAAATTTAAAAGTTGATGAGAATCATAAATAAATAAAATAAACTAGTTATAAACTTGAATATTTTTATAAATTTTTTTAACAAATTTGCCATTGCCTTTAATAATTTTTGATGCCCCTTGGACTCTGAGGTCTCAACACAGAGCAACACCATCTATTCATACACGATTTCCTTACTCATTAGTGTTTTAACAAAAATGACATTTGGGATTTCCAACAATTAAATATTACTTAAGCTCTCATAGAGCATGTTCAGTGATGCAATTAATACATATTGATTGATAAAAATTTCCAGATGTGCCAATTGCTAAGGTCATTAGTCCTGTAAGTGTAGTGCATATTTTATTGTGTGTGTGTGTGGGGGGGGGGGTCCCTCCCCATGAGCTCCAGCGCCGTCCCACACGACAGCTTGCATGATTTTCTCCAACCATGTCTTTTGCAGTGCACCCTCCCAGCTGGGACAAGCCTGAAGTTCCTGACTGGTCTGCCAACATGTCTGTTAATGTGGTGCGTGTAAGTGCAAGCATGATTTTGGATCTTTTATTGGGGGGCAAATTTGAGGATTTTTAAAAAAATTAAAATTACAGTTGTAAACAATTAATATAAATTATTTGTTTAAATAATATTAATTTTAATAGAAACGTACAAACAACAGTATGTTTGTATTAAACAATTTACTTCTAAATAATCTATATTGCTCGCATAATGTATTTGGTGCATAACTTATAAATATAATATACGTGTATAAATATGATATTATATTGTAGCTGCTTGGATTTTGTTTTATGTTTTGAAATTTGAGTGACATGTATCATATTTGTATAATAAATGAGAAATACTCTTTCTTTTTGTGAGTTAATTTGAGTGTTATGACTCATGATATTAGGCATGAAACAGTTTAAATGCTGTGACTAATGTTTAAAAGCAACATATAATTGAAAGAGGATTTATTGATAAGAGATATTCACTGTACCACTGACCATTATCCTGAGTGGTTTATAATATTGAACTAACGTTCACCAATTTATTTATATATGTTATTAGAGCAGCTTAATAAAAATGTTTCTCACATAATTATTCGCTTATAAATTTCTTCTCAAAGTATAGGAAAAAGTAAATCATGTCCCCCCCCCTTCCTAAATCACGCCTCTGCATGTGTGTGTGTGAGGAAGCGGTAATGAAAGAACAAGGAAAAGAAAGATCGCGTACGGCGTGTCCCTTTTGTTAAGGTTTTGCTCAGGCATTCGCCCGGTGTCGATCGTAGAAACCACGGAAAACACCGATCTGAACAGCCAGCCGCTTGAACCCACAGACTCCCAGACAGATGACTGAATTCGACCTAGCTGTGGAGCTAGTGTCTATTATCTGCCACCGCCGGGATCCGAACCCGTCAGAGGCACAGCAGTGACATCAACTAATGCCCTGGGCTGCCTAAACCGGTGATCATCGTCGATTATTGTTAAATAATGAACATTTATTATTAGTATACTGTACATTATTTTTGTAGTGCGTACATGATACTGTACAATATTATTTTTTTAAATAATTACATAACTCTAAAATATATTAATAAATGTGTAAATCAATTTTGCCAAATAAAAGAAGGTAACGAATGAACTGGGCCTTTTGGGGGGTATGGCCCCTCCCCCCTGGACCCGCCATTGGTGTAAGTATTATTCATCTGGAAACGTACAATGGACATTTCGAGGAGGAACCAATGTCAATTTCAAACCTTTTATAACAGCCATGCGATGTCTCGTCTCTTCCCGTTTGCACCTCTCAGCAGAGCCTCTCAGTGTCAGGGTAGGCACGTCCAGATGCTGTCTCGCTTCGCAGCGTATTCGGTGAAAATGCCCTGCAGTAGAAGAGCGTGTCCGCTGTGTCCATACCATGAGGCTGTGAATATAGCTCCATGGTACATAGCGGTACATAGTTTACGCATGCGCATTGTGCGCAGGCCAGCGAATTCGCTTATAAAACCACCTGCCCGCACTGAAGACTCCGATTTCCACTCAACGCCTAAATAAGAGAGAGAGAGAGAGTTAAAAAGAAGTGCGATTTCTGAATTATTCTCAGAGCAATACAAACTCCCAACACTTTTTTAGAATCTGACTAACTTGATATCAGGTCTGCGTCTGCTTAGTTCAAAATTGTGCCCCACATATATCCCTCATGTACTCCCCGCTTGTTCCTGCACATGTTCATCTGGAAATGAAACTGCAAATTCATAATTTTAAGTTTTTTTTTTTTTAAATTAAGAAATCCTTTTATAAACGCCTCAGTCTGGATATTGCAGTGACTCCTCGACCAAATGAAACGGAAAGGTATGAATAATTGAAGTTCGCAGAAGAGTGGAAACCTCCCAAAATATAAAAGATGGCCCCCAAAGTTATTTCGTAAAAATTTGCAATACTCCAAAACATCACTTTTTAAAACAGTTTCAAAAAGTGAAAATAGATTCACACTGGAACCCAACTTTCAGCGTTACTGGAAATTTATGTTCCGGTATGAGGGAACCTTGGAAAAACATAATAGATCGTCCAAAATGGTCTCATTTTATCGTGGATGTCACCAATTCCCAATCAATTTGGAGGGCGACGACAGCGATTTAATTGCAAAGGTGCAGATTATTGGAAAGTCCCCTCATATATTCCTATACACTACCAAAAACTATTTTTTGTGGGGGGGGGCACTTGTTGTTCTCCCTCTAGAGGGCGTTGATTAAAGGGAATTAAGTGCCCTTTGCCATAGCGCTGTCTTTACAAACTGTTCGAGAAAGTGTGTGTTGTTATAACACCGCTAATTCAAAATTGATTTTGCTATTTGTTCCTTGTGTTAATGTTAGAGAAATAACGATTTTTCTTTTCTTTCACGAATGACCAATTTATACGAACAAAAGTATTTGCAAGTTGAATAATCCGCGCTCAGAGAGCACGCAACGTTGCTGGTGAGTTGGCATCAGCTGGCATGAAACAAGATTCCCCCACTCTATCGAACATTGGTGATGTGTCTTCCTATCGTTTCATGCCGTGAATGGTCCTGACTCCAGTACTGCCGTGAAGCGTGGTTGTTGTCTCAGACGCGAATGATTTTGGATTTCTTCGTTGATCAGTTTTTAGTGTTTACTCAATTATGAATTTATTGTTAGTATTTCTTGCAGTTCTTGCATTCGTTTCTGGAAACGATGAGGAAGAAACGGGAGCACGGTTACTTGTATCGAAACAGATTTTGAACAAGTACTTGGTTGAAGATAAAGATATTATTGTAAAAGTAAGTGTGTCCCCATTTTTAAAATTATAATAACGTATTTACTGCCTCGTGATTGAACTCTTTAATTTCCTTCATTTTAGTATACTCTTTATAATGTGGGAAATAGTGCCGCCTTGGGCGTTCAGTTGACAGACAACAGTTTCCATCCAGATGCGTTCGCCGTTGTTGGTGGTCAGCTGAATATGAAATTAGATCGTATTGCCCCTGGCACTAACGTATCCCATGTTGTTGTCGTGAGACCTCGGAAGTACGGGTATTTTAATTTTACTGCTGCAGAGATCAATTACAGGCCATCGGAGGAGGTTAAAGAGGTAATTACTTTCTGTACATGCCCTCTTAATTTTATCTTATAGATTAAAATTGAAAGTGACCTTTATGGGTTTTTTTATTGTTTTCTCTACAGCTTCAGCTTGCAGTTACCAGTGAACCTGGCGAAGGTCTCATTATTGCTTTCAGAGATTACGATAAGAAGTTCTCTCCTCATGTGGTAATTTTCAAATCCTACTTTTTAATTATCATTTATGTATCATTGTTCTTTCCTAATTTTTAATTTCTTTGCAGCTGGATTGGATGGCTTTTGCTGTTATGACATTGCCTTCACTTCTTATTCCATTCTTGTTGTGGTATTCCAGCAAGTCTAAATACGAGAAACTTAGTAAGCATAAGAAAGAGAAGACATCGAAGGATTAAATGGTTGTGAATATATTTATCAGATTTCTTAATAAAATTGTTTTTATAGAATTGTCTTCTTGTATTATTCCATAATCTTTTTCAGTTATTGCAAGTAGCCAAGATGTTTTTGAAGACTATTAGGGTGCTGACTGTCAATTAATTATGTATCTTTACTAAAAAGTAACATTGTGTACAAATTAGTTGATAATTCATGGGTGCATTAGAAAAATTGATAAACAATGGTAAAAAGTTTTCTTATCCATCGGATAAGATCCTATTTAATATTTTCACACATTTTCTAAGTTTATGCCTGTGTGATAAATGGTATTTCATTGACCTTACCTTTATTATACTAGATACAATGAACCATTTTCTTTACTCCAGGAAGAGTTGTTAAATTGGATGTAATTACAAGCCATTTAATCTACTCCAAATGTGTAAGTTAACAGCTTTTGAAGGCAAATGGATAAGGAAAATGTATGAGACATTTTATAAATTCAAAGAAATTTCTTTAAGTCAATATCACTGTAAAGTCATGGTGATTTGTTTCATAATTAAAGCCACAAAAATAAATTACAACTGAAAAATGGCTAAAATACATTTTTTCTCAGAAATTTTAAAATGTCACTCATACTGTATTCCTAAACACTGCTGCTTTCCTTTATTTAATTTTCAAAGGAGTAAAATTCAGCATCATTGAAATGGATTGTAGCATTGCATTACGTTGTATCATTAGCAGCATTGTTGATGCAACTAAAGAAAACATCGATCTCTAGAATCATATTAGAACTCTTAAAAGGACTTTTGAAGTCTGATTTTCATCCGTTCCATTATCAGTCTGTTTTACCAGGACAAAACAAATTTCATCTAAGTTATTTAGATCCCTTACCATACCTTGCTTTACTTAACATAGTGTTTCTCGGCTAGGATATGAAAGGAGTCTTAATGTGTTAAGGTTTCTCTGAGATATCAGAAACAAAATACATATTTTAACAACTTTTAAAGTAAACTTAAGAATCGTAAATGCTTGTTTCCAAAAGGTACCAAATCCATCAGGACAAGTTTTACAGAAGAGCCTTAACCTTACTGTTGCTAAAATTGTTATTGTATTAAATTGGTATTTCAACTTGTGTTTTACGTTATTTCACATTTTATTCCAATGTTATAACGATTTATTTTGTAAAATTTTGAGAAATTGAAAAAGTTGGATGGTAGTATATAATTGACAAAATAACTAACAAGATGGTTTTTAGTAATCTCTCTATCTTTTAGAGGTATTATCTAAACAATTTCTAGGAAGTGTTAATTTCATCATGGTATATTAACTACATTTTCTCCTACAGCTTTTTTGCAGAGAAACATGTAGTAGATTTGATGTGTTCTTTCAAACAAGAACTTTGAGACCTCTAAGAGTAAAATTTGGGAGTTTTTGTGAAAAATATTGTACTTAGATTTTGGCATCCATGAAATATGTGCTGCAATCTGTAGTTGAATTTTTGAAAATTATGAATTTGATATACCTTTTGTAACCTTCCTCAAATAGTTAAGACTTGGGATATGATTATTAAGGAGGCTTTACCAACACAGGATGTCTTTGACAATCTTGGAAGGATTCTGAGAAAAGAACAATATAGCCTATGGAATTTGAAAAGTTTGGGATCTGCATTTTTTCCTTGTTACTTGATGTAATCTTTGTATCAAAACTTTTCATACAATTCCTCTCTAATTGAACTTCCAAAGACAAAGCAGTGATGTGATGCAATATGAAACCACCACAAAAATTCCAAGCATATGTGAAGTAATTCAGGTGCAACATGGCCCTTTTTTATATATAATTCATTAAACGGTTTACCATCTCAGAGAATCCATCCAACCACTGAACGTCGAAGATTATTAACAATTCTTGGCAACAAACTATGCAGTCATAAAATACAAAATATTTCACATGGATATTTTTGTGTAAACTTTCAAGACTGTTTGTTTTGTAGATGTGTAAGATTGCTAATGACCTCATGGAAGTATGTATGTCCCATGCACTGTGCACTATAATAAATGAATAATAATTGATGATGATGATGATGATGATCGATAATATAATAATAATAATAATAATATATAATAATAATAATTATTTTAGTTGTATGGGCCACTACTGACCTTTGCAACACATTTCTCAGAGCGCCTGTTATTTTCAATCTGGAGATCACCGTGTGGAATTATGGATCAGCCTTTCGGTGCATCCCTTGAATTAATAAACAAGGTTGTTAGCCTTGAATATTCAATCAGGAGGGATGGGGATATGAAGGTATTATTATAATATTAATATTATTACTATTATTGTAGGGTGATAAGTGGTGAAAGGACTAGGATGATGGTAAGGAGGGGGGGTGTTCATGAATTTTGGAACATCCTAGCATCACCTTGTGACTGAGGGGAAACCACGAAAACCCTGATCAGGAAGTTGGCACGGGGATTGAAGCCAGACATCCCGAATCCAGCTTCTCTATGCAGTGAGCCACTTTGCTTTGTTATTTTATTAACCGTAGAGTCTGTCAAAGATGGAAACCTGCTATCTGAGACAAGAAATCTCAGAATGGAACAATTTATACATGAAATGACCTCTGTAACCTGGAAACAGGATTGGTTTTAGAGAATGTAAAGGTGATTATTACCTGGGTAGAAAGAAATTTCCTGCCATTAATCCTTTGAATGACAGTGTGAAGGGTCACATCCTGAGACAAAATTAAAGTGGGTGACGAGTTTCTTCTCTTGTGCCTGATTGTCAACGAATCTTCAGCAAACGTGGCATCAGCTTTGCTGTGACATATCTCACTTCTTGGTGTGATTTTTTCAAAGTCAGAACAAGTGTGATGACTTTGTTGCTGTCATTCTGAATCCTTAATATTAGACAGTCCGCCTCTTGTTCAATTCTCGACTTTCATCACTTCCTTCTGATGACAAGGAAGACTGTCTTGTGTCCTATATTTTGTCCATGTCCTATAATTCTCTGTTTGCTGTTAATTTTTATTTCTTGCAAATATTTCATTGATAAATTATGCCTTTATTTCAATACTTTATTTCTCACAAATTATACAAAAAATTCTGTACTTTAATTATATGGTGTTTTTTTGATAACCCTCTATAAGATGGAAACCTGTCAGACTGAAAGTTTCTGAATGAACTTAGGTTCCCTCTTAGACAGGTATTACAAAAGAGATATAAAACAATGTTGAAAAACAGTGGAACGTTCTAAAATGCCAAGGGGGCTGCGGTGGCATGAATATCAGGATAGTTTCAAGTTGTTGGCCTGGAAAACAGGAGAGAATGAAATGAAATACTACATGCAAGCTAACTACAAAATAGCAATATAGTCTTTATGTTCTCTCATTATGACATCCGATAACAAGCTGACGTCATTCACAAAAAAAGTGTAGGAGAGGTTGCGATGAAGTAGGACCAACCATAGATCCGACTTCATCATAGAGGGAGAAAGTGTGGAATGAAATAATACCATTAGCCTAATTGGAAGGCAAGAAGTGTTGCAACCTTCAAAACTCAGATGAATAAGACTTGTTGTCGATCACTATTTTTGTCCTTGTATAGCCCTTATCATTAAAGACTGTTGCTTTATTTTTCATTGTAGATATTTTCAGTCCATATTTGTGTTACAATGTTGTTCAGCTAGTGTGTTGCCATTTGAAGTTCATCCTCTGAGTCAACACTATTACTTTGTCACCTTCATAAAATATAGTCATTTTTCTGACTGCCTCCATGGCAATTGCCTCCTTTTACTTCTATCTTCCTTGTCTTCATCATGTACTTCATATATATACATTGAACAGTAGTGATGATAAAGGGGCAACTTGTCTCAGGCCCACATTAGTGGATATCACTGCACTAGTGCTTCTTTGAATCTTTTATTTTAACATTTGATTTTTCGTATAGGCTTCTAACTGCTCTTATGTGTATTCTTCAAAGTTTTTTTCCATAAGGATATCTTATAGCAGCTCTCCTATTTATAATGCCTGTCATGCGCCTTTTTCATAATCTACAAACAATACTGATGTTCTGTTCATTTCTTCTTTTAAATATCTGGTCAGTTGTGTATATGCTTCAACTGTCCCTTTGCTCTTCTTAAATTCGCATTGCCTGCCTCTCCCCATTATCTCACTCTGTTCAGTATACCTGCATATATCTTGTACACTGGATAGTTATTCTTCAGTGATTACACAATTTCTTTGTCATTTTTTGTGAATATTCATCACTATTCCAGTTTGCCATTCAGTTATGTTTTTTTTCTTTGTCTATATTTCATTTATTACTTCTAGCAATTTATAATTTAATACTACTTTCAGCTCTTCCGTATGGATGAGTTCTGTTGGGTCTACGTTATCTTCATGCGTATTTGGTGTGTCCATGTTAGATTCTTCCCCTTCTTGTTTGCACCATAATTTCTATAATGTTGATCCATTTGTACTCTGGTACTCCCTTCTTTCCATGTTAAGCTTCTTCATTATTTTGAACCCCATTCTCAGTGGACCTGTTATTTCTCTCTTTAGTGCATTTCATGAATTTCTCCCAGTCAAGATGTAGAATTCAAAATGTCTCTTGGAGTGGGTGCTTTGCCATTTGAGAACAAAGCATTGATTGGTACTGATACAAGTTGAATTAGAGCAGACCTGCTCCCGCAGGCATTCTGCACTTACGAGCCAGCCATCTGCTCAAGAGCACACCGAAAGTGCAAGTAGTGGAGCAAAGGCAGCTGGGGGGGGGAGAGAGAGAGAGAGAGAGGGAGAGGGAGAGAGAGAGAGGGAGAGAGAGAGAGAGAGAGAGAGGGAGAGAGAAAAGGCGGATCAGAATCGACCCGGCACATAGATTGAATGGCTAGGTGTATAATGCAATCTAATGATCCACACTGTGAAATGATTTGTCCATTGATTTAAATAGGCAATTTACCATATCTCTCACTACAAGGGTCGTATTTTACTGTTTGTGTTCTGTGGACTGCCATGTATCCACATATTTTTCTTTTTAACTTTAAGCTTTTGTAATTCAAACAATACTTATGAAAATTTATTTTGTAATTTTCATTACAAAAAATTAACAATTTAATAATTGAATTTTCACTGGGACTGTAATAATCTCCAAATTGTAGCAAAACGGAGGAAACAGAGAGCAGTCTCTCTCACAGAGAGATTGATATAAAAATGAAGTACAGACAATTCCAAAAAGGGTAATGTTTGGCAGCACATATATTTGTGACCATTTTCCCTCATTCTGAAGCTGAATAAGAGATACCAATGTGCAAACCCCTTTTACGATATTTTATGGTCGATCATGACATTTGTTAGTCTTGTTAAGAAGAGGAATGCAAAGGGCTTCATCTTCTTTATATGATGTCTTAAACTATTGTGAATAATAGTGATTCTTGATTTGAAATTAGAAATATATAATGAACTTGTCGGAAATTAGAGCAGAAAGTAATGATTTTTAAGAATAAGATTTTTTTAGCTTTAAATTAAATAAAAAAAGAAAACGATTGCTATCATCATCAAACAAATTCAATATTACAATTTTATGTTTTACAATTATATTATTATGCTAGTATTAGCTGCAAGTTAAATTTGCAATTACATCGTAGCAAAGCAATTATGTTATCAGTCCTTCAAGAGATTATTATACTAGTACCCAAATCAAATATTAGTTCTAAATATCTAATTAGTTTTAGGGTCATATTTCACACTGTCATACATCGACAACAAAAGTTTCCAAATAAAAGGTAATGATACTTGAACTACATGTAATAGTCAGTCATATTTTTGCAATTTCTCTTTCAAATTACATGCTATGTTTCGAAATGCACATTCTTATTGGCACTCCCCAGTTCTAGGAGTCTTATCCCCACCCCTCAGAGCGGGCCGGGTTTGTACTCAAGTTGCTCGTGTGCAGCTCCTGAAGATGGTTCAGATGCAAAATGCTGTGAGAACCTGAATTAGAGTGCATGTCTTTGCTTGTTCAAATCTGCCTAATGTGCTAGCAATTCTGGATATTATAGCTCTGAAAATGCCTGGGGATGTTGCTAGGTCCACTTTCTCCTCTCACAACTCTCCCTCTTCTATGTGCAAGGCACACTGAAATAGCATTTGTTAGGTGTGAGCGAATCTAAGAATTACCCTGTGTAATAGAATTTCTTCATGTCCTGCTCTTATTCATTGCCTCAAGATTATTTAACAGAAAATTCTTGAAATTCACTTCATTTAGGTTTGTCCGAACAAGTAGGGAACTGCAAACACACACATCTATTAGTGACAACAAGAGGGGGTAGCTGGGGCAACTTAATTGAGAACCCTATTTCTTTTTCGTTCAAAAGAAATAATAAATCCTTTCATCTCTAATCCAAATTAAACACAATAAGTTGCTTCTGATGTATGGAGAAATGAATTCTGTTAATGAATTGGGAGAGGAGGGAAGTTGCCCTGGGCCTTAGGTTTGCTCTGGGCATCCCTGTTCTCCTATTTCATGGGTAATGTTAGAGATAGCAACAGTATCAAAGTTTGGGAAGTTTTTGCTAACAAAATATTTATCATTTCTGTGATTGAATGTAGAATGCATATGTTACTTTTATCAATATGAATTTTGCCATTTCCAGCACCTGCAAAACACAGACTCACACTCATTGGGCATCAAAGAGTCTGTAAGTCCTTGCAATTTTGTCATATGCTTTGTGCAACCAAAATCTTGGCAATAAGTTTCACTCATTTTCACATTGCATTTCACAACACCATTCAATAAAACAGATTCTATCTTTAGTAGCCCATTAAAAAATATTGGTAAGAACTGTTTTGCAAATTTGCCAAATTGCAAATGGATAGGCGGCTTTAAAGTGTGCATTATACTTTTATATTCCAACTGTTCCAAGACAGAAATTTGTGACAATTCTTTTCTTTTGAAAAATAGTTCTAATAGTTAATTTGTTCTATATCATGATAAGGTTTGGGTTGTGTTGAAATTGCATTATCAAGTAAGCAATTTATTTTCTGTCATCACTTGACTCTTGAATACCGAAGGGGAAAAAATGTATGAAAATGTAAAAATATATTATATTCTGTAAATACTGGCTACAAATACAATGCAAAATTGTAAAGAATATTATCATGACCACCTTCCAACAACCAACAACACCCAGTTACATTTAACAATGCAAACACAAGACCAATCATGTTCCATTAACTTCACTAAGTTACATATCAGTCAAAGATTGAATACGGACAATATTTTAAATTGTACAAAATGAAATTTGATCAAAATATATATACACACCAATAAAAACAATTTTCATTTTCAATAATTCCCCACATACTGAAACAATGCTAAACTTCAGTTTTACACATTCATTCACTCTTGTTCAAAAATACAGTCTTATAACTTGGATTCCTCCTTCATAAGAGATTGCAGCTTCTGTGTCAGCATGATGTTACCCTTCACCTTCAACTTGCCCTTCATGAAAGCCACCTGGGGGTTGATTTTTCCAGTAGCCTATTTGTAACAATAGGAATAAAATTATTTTTTTCAATATTTTCTAATTTTGAGCACATGTTTAAGTAACTTCCTAGAATGGAACCAAATTACACCCACAAAACTGGACACAAAAACTAACTTCTAGGAATGAAATTAAAATTCAAATTTGATAAGTTCATGTTAGTCAATCACAAAGGTAACAGCAAGGTACAAATAACAGATTCAGAGTAACCTAATCTCAATTTTCCCCCTCCATACCATATTTGACATATAATACACAAAGCAAATTATGAGATCTGTCTTCCAACATCAATTAAGAATAATTTTCATCAATATTATGAAGGAATGAAATAAGCATAACTATTATGAAAGCATATTTTTCTGTCCTATTGTTGTAGTCCAGTTCTTTGGGCTCGTCATTCTAGTCAAGAACCTTCACCCCAAGATTTATCATTACTCTGGAATGAGGATGTGATATAGAAGTCACAATTTGGTAAAGTAAGAAATATCTTCATATGATAAAAATAAAATTGCAACTAGTAGAATTGTGCAATTAAAATTTCATGGTTCATTAAAACATCGATGTTAATGCAAAAGGTGGTAAATGGATGGTTAAATGTATTTACAAAAGAGATATATCATGATAATAGAAGTCTATTTTGTGTCAACTCTGAAGTATCAAATAGCTTGTTAACAAAGACAAATCCCTGAAAGCAAGTTATTCACTACTCAGAAAATACCATGATGAAAATGAAACTAAATGCAAATAATGATTGGTTAAGTTTCAAACTAAAAATATAAACATACAATTTCCTACATCACTACTGGATCAGAATACAAGTAGAAATATAATACAGAATGCCCGTTGATAGGCTTGGATTTTTTATAAATATCATTCTACTTGAGCTAACATTGACACCTCGTTTTTTACGAATTTAAATGAACAACCATTTGTTGTTTGTTTTGCAGGAAAAAAATAATAATAATAAAAGGGGAAAAAAGAGAGCAAGAGAAAGGGATGGAGGGAGAGAGAGAGAAAGAAAAATAATTTATTATTCAAAGATATAACTTTTTTGTAATCTTGTAACAACTACTGGGCTGAAATTCCCCTTTACTGTGCTGCTATTAAATGACATTAAAGTAAATAAACTCTTCTTAAATTAATACATTTTTTACTGAATAATTGGATATGACTGTTCTAAATTCAGAATGTTCACATTAAATATTGCTGGAAAGCAAAATGCAAAAATTATGACAAAAATTATGTCAGTAGAAAAAGCAACAATCAAATAGATTTCAAATTTTATCAATAATTTTTAGTGATAATAATCATCCAAATTTGTGCTACACCCATAGGAATTGGAAGGGAGAAAAATGAAGAGAAAAGAAAAAGAAGTCAATAGAAAGCAAATACAAAAATTCTTTTACATTTACAAATACTTTTCTCAGTAATACTCACAATATCAACCATATCCTGATCATCAACAGTGAGAGTTGTGTCCGCTTTAACTCCTTTGGGATCTCCTTCATACATTTTGCCATTTTTCAAATCAACAGCTAAAATTTAAAATAAAACAATAGAGAAGAATTTAGTATTAAAAATTCTGAGGATTGTATTTCAGACACACATATGCCAATAAGTTAATTATATGAATATTCTAAAATTGCAAGGTTGTAAGCTGGTACCCCTGAAGAAAATTCATTCTAAAAGCATTTCAAAATGCGATATAATATTACACATATTTGATTTCCAAAAGGTTTCTCCAAATTCATTTCAAAATTTTCTAACACAAGAAGTCTTAAGCATTACCTTTTCTTTTTCAATGACCATTTTAAGCACAATTTGACACAATGCATTAAGATTTCAAAAGTTATCAAGTCATTACATGTTCAATTGCTTTATGCAATGAAAGCTGATATATTATTCTATAACACTTGGATTTAATATTAATTAACTTTCTTCGGTTCTTCTTCATTCCTGGATGAAGGGATTCAATCAGTTAGAGTGCTTCACAGATCTCTACATCCTCTGGCAACATCATATCATGTATTTTGGAATCTGTCAATCATTCTTTTCAATTACATATCTATGTAAGATCTAATATGTTTCTGAAGGAATTAAATTGTCAAACAATTTTTATGTATTCTGCTTTACCACATCTTGCTAGAAGTGTTAATATTTTTTTGTCTACAAACTTATTGACTGATAATGATAAAAATAGAACCGTAATAATGATACATCCATTAACTACTTTTTGGCTACTAACTACTATTGTCATTAACGATTGGTTTGGGCATGTGAGCCTGTTGCAAACTGTATTATCTATCTATCTATTTAGCGTTTTTTTTGACAGCCTTGGCTGTTTTCCACATCTCAATTTCCATGCCTCACACTTTACACTACACTCTCCACACTTAAGAGAGCGCAAACTTGTTTAAATTGTGTTTACTTCATACACAAGCTTTGTGGCAATTGGTTGAAAATGCCTTCAAAGGTTCTCCTATTTTTGCTGAAGCTTAATGTGCCTGATTAGCCCCCACCACCATCAGAGACAAGATTCCTCCTACAGACTTTGTGAAGTTATCACTACCATCACTTAATCATATCAACCAACTTAAAAAATAGTTTTATTGTTTTCAAAACTATCACGTTACTTGAGTTTCCTAAATCAGAACACTTAATCAATCACTGGATGTCTCTTTCAAGATGGGAGACAACCCATAGATACAGATGCAATATAAGGTCCAAGTAGTAAGTTTAGCAGCTGTAATATAAAATAAGCTAATTCCTATGCAAAAATAAAGTTTCTCATGAATTTAAGAAGGCATCATGGCTGATGGAGAGTTAAATAGCTTTAAGTACTCACTCCATGTTGCCGCAATCTTTCCACCCTTTGTAATTTGATACACAAATACTCCATTAATCTTCTTATATTTCTCAATGTTTGATTCAAGCCTAACTTGAATAGCATCAAACACTGCCTTGCTGACAAGGTCAGATGCTGATACTAAGTTGCGGGTAGGCGATGGAACATCGAACAAGTCCACATAACCTCCTAAAATGAAAATCACGTACATTTAGCAGAAAACTTCACTATGAAATTTAAAATCCGTTCTAAATACTCCTTTCCAATCAATTTGAAAACCTACCATTAATTACTTTGGTTCCTGTCTCTACAACCCTGGCTTCAAAGTGAATTCTTGCTCCTTCCTGCCACATGTCTGTCTGCAAAGTCTGACCAGGAATGACGGGTTTGGCAAACCGAGCCTACAGTAAAGTAAATACCACAGATAAGATAACTAAAACAAGAATTGATAGCTTGGCAAATGATCACTATTACATAATGAAGTTAATGTAGAAAGGCAAAAAACATCACAGAAAGAACAAAGTCTGAAAAAAGGCAGTGACTTGCAGTTATACCACAAGTGATAATGCATTTCAGAGGTCATTCTTCATTATCTGCAAATATAAGAGGTTGTTCTCACGGGGGAAAAAAATAAAATCAGACAATACCTTTATGGCCTTGAATTTCGAAGGATCACCTGATGTATAATGATTCAAAACATGTCTTGTTGCGAATCCCAATGAGCAAAGGCCATGGAGAATAGGCTTTGAGAAACCACCCAAAGCAGCCATGTTTGGGTCAATGTGGATGGGATTCACATCACCAGATAATCTATACAAAGCAGCCTGCAGAAAAAATATTGAACAAATCAGAATACAAAACTGAATTGCACATCATTAACTTTTTTCTCCCTTCCACCTTTGATTTAATATTGAGATGATAAAATGAGTACTAATACTGTGACTTTATCAAATTTGTCTGTATGGAATTCCTTTTTCATTGTAAAACTCTGTCAACAATTAACCCCTTGTTGCTAACTGAGAACGGATGTCCACATATTTTCCAGCATTATTTCTAACTTTTACAATTTTTGAAAATTCACAGATTTCAATGAAAATGACTTATGAGCTTCTTTTTCAGCATTCCTTTTTACTTTCTCCCCCTTAAGAAGGTACTTTTGACTGTTTTCAATTCTGATTTTAATTTGAATTCCTTCAGTAAGAAATGCAAGTGGACAGTACATACACTATTTTAGCAAAGCATTTTGTTTCTCTCAACAACCATCTACTTTTTCAGAAATTGAAATGTTTTGGCACTACTGGCTCACTTTTGCAATGGTTTACTTGCCATTTGATGAATAGGACAATTTGTGAAATACAAAAAAAAATATATCAGAAGACATTACAGGTTTAGGAAGACGTTACAGGGGGGGGGGGGGTTGACTCCAAACTGAAGTTCAAGGAGCATATTGATCTGATTACTCAGAAAGCCAATCAAATCTCATGATCTGAGAGAAGAACATGCTTGTGAATGTTTTGAAACCATTGTATATGTCACTGGTTAGATCTATCTTGATGTTTGCCTTAACAGGGTGGTTTCCACACATCATCATTGATAATAAGATAATACACGGATTGAGACTACACAGCATCATTTTTTTTCAAATCTGTCTGTCTGATCCACTTCTTGATCACTGTTAGATCATGATTACAGTTTTATTGCGAATCAACTGAAAATGCCATCTCTCAGATCCCTGAGAAACTTCAGAGATTCTATTTTCCTTATTAAAATGATTACAAACAATCTGGATTGTCCCTTACTTTTGAAAAGGGTTAATTTTAAAGTTCCTCCTGTCAACACAAGATCAATGTTTGAGATAATATAATATAATATTATAATTTATTCTATTTGGCGAACAATCCAATGTCTATGTGAGAATGAGCAACTTATATAATCAACTGAAAATGAATACATCTGGTGAATCCTATTCTCGAATTATTATTTTTATTTTAGGAATATGAATAATATTATTTGGTTTGTAAATATTATTTTTGTAATTTGAAACCTCTACCATAATAGAGCCCCATTATGAATTTGTGTGTTTGTAAAATATTACATCAAAATAACAGACTTCTTTCACTAGAAATTTTTTAAACTGCATTTTGTATTCTTTTTTGGTAAGATCATTTCTAATTAAAGAGTTGTGTAAAAATACTGAGTTTTTATTTTTCTCATAATACTAAAACACGCATGTTTCTTACTTATACATTTTCCCCTTCATTTCACTGAAAAACATAGAAGTGAAGTTTTACTGTACTTTTTATCCTGATGAAGTAAGGTGAGAAAATATAAAAGTATTTTGAAGACAAACTTTAATGTAAAGTGTGTTCATATATTTTTGCAATTAAACCAAATTATACTTCATATTCTTATTTTTCAATGTGGCAATGATATTTCATGATATTTCCCTACAAGAAGTTTGAACTGTACACTTCAAATTTTCTCCTATATAAATACGTTTTGCAATATTAGTAGCACTTTTTAGCTTCACATAAACATCATAATGTACTTAAATCTTCACATAAACAATTAAATTAATTCTCAATAAGCTACAGAAAAATCTTCACCTGGTCAACACTAGTCTTTTGTTTCACTGAAACATCAGGACGTCTGGATGGAGGTTCTGCTGTGGCCATTGCCTTATCAGAGTTTCGTTTGCCACCAAATCCACCCGCACCAACCAAAAACGCAGTCATTTGCTGGAAAGCTATTTTTTCTCCAGCTTCATTGTATGTGTCCACTGAAATGAAGAATTATATAAATAAAGTATTGAAAAGTAAATGGGCGTGACTGTTAGAAACAAGAAGACTCACAATCCTTTAGCTAAGGACCATGTCGCTCTGTGAGAAGATCATGTGATTGAATATAGGTTATAGATGTTAGCAAGAACACACACACACACCCACGCACGTGCACACGCACACAAAAAAGGACTCAAAATAAACAAGGAACAATTAAGGTTGTGAAGAAATGTGTAAATATATCAAAATAATTAGCAAGAAAAGGCTTTTACTAGCAAATTTTAGGACTTTTTGAGGAACAATATAAGAAAGCAAACAAAGAGATACTGTGTGGATCAATGGATCACAAATTTGGTTTAAAAAGGATGCAAAAATCTAGTTTAAAAGCTAAGAAAATTAAGTTTCAGAGACTTTGCACTCATTTAACCCTGTTTAATAGAGAATATATGAAGAAATTAGATGCACAATGCAGAGGCAAGTAAGACACAATAAAGAATATAAACAATTACAATGTAATGGCCATGTAATAAGAATGAACTTTGAAAGTATCACGAAACATTTATGAGTGGATCCCTACCAGAGGAAGATGATGATGATGATGATGGATGATGATGATGACAACTTCTATATAACATTTAATAATATTGTATAATAAGAAAAATTATTGTGCACATTTCAAAGCAGTATTTTAAACAATATCAAAACACATCTTACTGTTTACAATTACTGCAGCTCCAGAACCTTTATCTAATACATCTACAACATTGCAAGAGGTTGTTACAGTCCCCGATAGAGGAAGAGGCTCTAGGATCTCCAAGAACTGTTCTCCATGTAGCACCTGAAATGGTAAATTGTTCACTAGCTCAATCTTATGACACTTCTAGTAATAATGCAAAATATGCAAATATGTAACCAAAAATTGTAATCGTACAATGCACACATACATGTAAAGTATCAAACCGAAGTTACCAAGCTATACAGTTTTATTGCATATCTTGCAACACATACATACATTTGAAAGGTCTACTTGTTTTCCTGGAACAACATTTTCAAATAAATTGGATCCCATAGAAGCCAATAAGCCAGGAATTATGAAATATGTTGGAAGGGCAGCAAACTGTTCATCATTTTCATACAGAAATCTGAGGTCTCCAGAACTTTCTACAGTAGCTCCCACTGTGAATTTTATTGAACAATTAGTTTGCAAATTAATTTCAAATAAAAACAAATTTCCATCATTTCTTTGTTATTTTACCTCCCAAAGCATACAAAATAAGATCTCTGTTCGTGAAACTGAATTTTTCCACCACTGTGTTCTGAAAACAAATGGAAAAGAGACAATAAATGAAAGTCATTATCTTCATCGTAAATGAATGCCTTTGAATTTTCTTACCTGATCTGTAGTATCTTGATTGCCCGATTTCAAGTCTTCTAGGGCAGTCATTAATGCTCCGGAAGCCTCCTATTCCAAGGCATAAAATTATGAGATATTTGTTTTAAACCTCGTCATCTAAATATTTTTACATTGCTTAAATTTATTAAGTATTATTAACTTTAAATACTGAATTTAAAAAGTATCAAATTGTTATTTACAATACGCATGTAAAACATAGAAGAAGAAAAAAATTACCTGAATGCTTTCCAATCTAACTGCATTAGACATGTCAGTAACTCTATCCCATTTGCTCTGGACATTTTCAGGAGAGACACTATCGGTTATTTTTGAGCGTAAAAGAGACCCTTGAGAACGGACCAGATGACCTTTCAAAACAGGATTAGCAAATGAATTCTTTAAACAATAAAATGTTCACAAAATGTTTAATAATTTTCCATCCAAAAGAAAAAAAAAAATTGCTATGCATGCGGTGACTTTTTATGACAATACTATTAAAAATTTAAAGTTTTATAAAGGCACTAGGAATATATATACTATATATATTTTTTTCTAATTTAACGCCCACAAAAATCAACAGGGCCGTAACAAAAAATGTCCCAATTGTAGAAAAAAATATTTATGAAACTTGTGTTTGACAAGCTATCAATATGAAAATGAATTTGTAGCTTTGATATGGAAGGTTTTGTATTTGCAAATGTTAATTTCTTACTCCACAATTACCACAAAATCAGATATATGAAGACAAACAAGAAGCACTGCTTGTGTAACACATCAAAATAAAACCAACAAGCATAATAAATCAACAAAACTTACATTTGCCTGCCCAACCAGCAGCTGATTCAATGATAGATCCATTTTCTTCACATGATTCATGACACAACCAAACAACAACTGGTGCAATTAATTCAGGTTTCAATTCAGCAAAAAATTCTAAAGAACACAATTCTCAGATAAAATTATTGTTAAAATGAAGTTGTTTAACTCTAATAATGTCTTCACAAAACAAAATATGTAGCAGTATATCTGTTACCTGGAGGAAGAATATCTTCTGTAAGACGTGATGCTGCAGTAGGGACAATAACATTGCAATGTATATTGTTTTTTTGACCTTCAATGGCAAGTGTGTTGCTCAAACCAACAACTGCCATTTTTGCAGCACTAAAATTGAAAGATTTCAAAATTTTGTCATGTTAATCAAAACCATTTAACTGAAGCTCACAATCTTATTATTAAGATATTATTCACCTATAATTTGCTTGGCCATAATTTCCATATAAACCTGAGTTTGAAGCTGTTACAATTATTCGTCCAAAATTCTGATTTTTGAAGTGAGGCCAAGCAGCTTGAGTGGTTTTGAAGGTTCCTTTCAAGTGAACTCGTTGGATTAGATCTGAAATATAGCACGTACTTACAATTTAGTGCGATGTCCAGCACAACTACATGTACACCAACTTTGCTCTTTAAAACACAGCTTTTTTTTATATTTTTTTTATTAGCTTAAAACAAATTTCAAGTTAAATAATGTACCAAATCTTACCACTATCACATACTCTACTTTTTATACCAATTCTTATATTGAACTCTTCCCTACGACTGATTTTATTTTGAAATTTCTCTCTCATTAACAAGTAGGCAGATGAATAAAATTCAAGTGGTTGCCAATTATGAATTTAAAGTGTTTGTATTTGTTCATGAAAGGTATTTTATCATAATTATAAGGTCCCCACACAATTGACAAGAAAGCAGCAAAAAAATGTTAATATACTAATTAAATACTTACAAGTCACAGAGAAATGAGGATTTCAAAAAGATATTAATAGTATAAGAAATAAACTTGGAATATTACATACACGATTCTTTTATAATATATACAGTGTATCTTGGGAGGAAATGTCGAAACTTCGCAAATAAGCTCTGAAGACAATTTTTAGCATATTTTGTTGAATGAACTGCTGGGATATTCCGAAAGGATGAGCCGCAATAAGCACTCAAACCTTGGTTTGAAAAAATGCTTTCTAGGCAAAAATTTGCATTGCAGAAGCATGGAAATACTTCAGATACATGTAAATTGTTTGTTTTTTGTAAATAACCTACAGTACTAATATACCTACAGTGTTTTTATGCTTTTGCAATGCAAATTTTTGCCTAGAAAACCTTTTTTGAAACAAACTCAAAATATGCTTAAACATGTCTTAAGAGTTTATTTTTGAAGTTTTAGAAATATTTTCAGAAAATTAATAAGGAAGTGAAATTTGAGCGAATTTAATATACTTGTACTAAAACTCACCCCAATCAGTGTCACTTATCCTTGGGAATGACTTATCTCGTAAAATGCCTGCATTATTTACCACCACATCAATTCGACCAAAATTCTCCAGAGCAGTCTGAATGATCTTTTCACCATCTTCAACAGAGTTGTAATCAGCAACAGCTTTTCCCCCTATCAACAAAGAATAACCTGAATAATATCGGACAAAATTTTAATAATAACAATACTTGTCACCGAGTCACATATACAATTTCAATCTTGTATGATGAGTCAAATAAGATGTATGCAGGTGCACATGTATTTCTGAGCTATAGATTTCTACTTTCTCTTGCTACACTTTATGAGTAAAGGTAAGGGTAGGATTTTAATGTAAGAAATGTTCACTTCTATGTGAAAGAACTGCAATTGACATTCAATTTTGATTTTGAATACTCTGCTAACAAATAATTAACCCTACACTCCTATTATGTCTAGCAAAATGGAGCTCAAGAAGACTTGGGGCAAAGTGAAGTTACATTTACAACCCAGAAATCAAGGCAAGGGGGCCATCTCAGCATTTGCAACAATGGTAATAACAATAGTACTATGAAAAATAGTAACAGTATTCATTGAAAATGATTGAACAATGTTATTGTTAATGATGCCTTATGTAGCTAGAGAATCCAGGGTGAAGGAAATTGAAATTTTGATCAGGCATTTTCCTATATCAGTCCATGAGAAATTTAACACAGTCAGGACGGGACATGCCACAACTTTTTTCTTTGATTCAGCTTAAAACAGTCAATACAATACAGAAAGGCAAATGGGATAAGAATTTGTATTTATTTATTTATATTTTTTTAAGGGAAGTAGTGTTTTAATTTGTACATTCCTTTACACTATAGAACATGTTGTTAAGCAGGAAAGCTTTCATTTACTTTTGAATGTACGTATTGTGTTTATCATGGCCCAGCTTGATGTGAAGTGTAATATCCTCTGTTAGGGTACTTTTTTGATAAAGTGCAGTTTCAGAGTGAAGAACATTGTCTCAAATTAGAAGATACACAAAATAAATAGTCTTCAATTCTTTGTATGTTCCATTAAGTAAATTCTATGCCACTTGCAAAGCTAAATCAGCATTTCAAAGGCAGCACTTTATTTCGAAAGTGTTAGTTGCTATTAGTGTTTTAGAATGTAATACTAGCCCTACATGGAAAACAAATTTAATATTTTCAGTTTCTTTTTCCAAGTTATGGTCTGCACTCGCTTCAGACATTTAATTAGAAAATGTAATTTTTGTAACAGCTCGCAAAACGTCCAAAATCTTATAGCTATAAAGATCATTCTATAATGATCATTTTGTAGGATAATTTCATTTTAATGTAATATTATTTTGCTTTTTATCTAAACCCATCACGGTTGGTATGTTCCGCTACTTAACGCTACGAAAAACAAATTCTTTCCAGCAAACGGTAAAATGTCTGAATTTCTAATAATGTATTAAGCATAAGATTTAAATTATGAACAGCATGATGCACAAACATTGCATCAACTACTTAATCTAATTTTTTTTCCTGAACACTATTGTAAATTCCACTCAACTGCTGTGCCATTATATCCTAGACCTCTACATTTAGATAAATCAATGCTTGTACTTTTATATCCTCAACAATATCAAAATACACACCTTGTGCTCATTGATCTTTATCTGTCTGAAATCTTTTTTTTAAAATATATATTTTAATCGGCTTGCCGGGTTTATTTTTCTTGAAGGTAAAAAATGTTAAAATTTGACTTAACGAGTCAACTTTTAATATGTCTTGCATTGTGTTCATTATAATATAGAAAAAGCATTGCTTCATTATATAATACATAGTTTTAGAGAAAAGACTTATTTAGTTTTGAATTTGAAACTCAAATAGAAAGGGGCCCTCTTGATATGGTCCTGTCAGTCTCTGTGGAACTCATGCGCTGTAGAGAACTTCTTCTTTTAATCAAAAGTTACTGAACAAGTCTTTCCCTCAAATATATGAATCATGGTGCCACAACTTCATAAACATTATCTTGCAACTCCCACAATGGTTAAATAAAATCTTTCTTAAAGAAATATAACTGATACATTTTTGTTACATGTAGTTAAACTCTTTACCCAGTATCAATGAATAAATTAGCGATGCTAGAAGAGCACATGCTGTCTTACATTGTTTATAAGTTTCGCAATTTTCTAAAATTCAGAGAAAGTAATTGAAGTCAGACCTGTGCAATTTTTATTAGTGAACTTGAAAGATTGTACCTGACCATATTTTCATGAACACACTTTACATAGTTGCATCTAAGTTATATTTAAGATATTTTGAAAATGTTCTTGATGCTTGATATAAAGTTTCTTCAAAAGTTAATATATGTTTCAAATTCAAGGGGTCGCAACATAAGCCAGATTTATGGAGTATTATTTTTTATTAAATTCCTACCCATGATTAAGTTGCTAGCATTGTTCACAGATGGATAGACATATTGCCGCTAATCAATTTTTTGGTATCCCACAGCAAAACATGGACTTGCTACAGAATTTTCTGTATGCTAGATTAGATAGCATACGCTTCCTACTTACAGTCGTGGTAACTAGGCATTTCCTAGGCATTTTAGGATCTCCTGGGTTCCCTAGACTTCCCCACGGGACAATGAAGTTCCTTTCCTGTGGTTACTACCAGCAATGCTAAATTGCCCCATCGTAATTTACGAATTGCTTGTAGAGTTTAATACAGCTTCTGAGGGCAATTAATGAGATAGTCAGTAGATCGCTTCAAGACGTGATCTTTAACATCTAGAGGGCACTGTCTGTGGATCTTGGGAGAGCCCCCGAGGTTCCAACCACCAGGCAGGATTCTGGTGTTGGGCACTCCATGAAGTTGGGCTGCCATGGGGATGGCTGGTTGGTATTTGACCAACTTTTCCTCCCCAGCTTTCAGAAGGTTAGACCCATTGTTGTGGCAGACAATTACTTTGACCACATGGAACCCTTCCCGGCTTCTTATAACCAGGTCAGGTTTGAGTCTAACCCCTGCTCTCAGGTCTAGCAAATATACTTTCAGGTTTATAGTAGGATAGGGCTTAGAGAACTTAAGTTCCAAAAATTAATAAATAAATAATAATAAATTAATAAATAAATAAAAAAAAAAAAGTTTTGAAATCCACACAAAAAGAAAATTTTGACCACAGCATTTCTTCTACATCTATTAGTGATCTTGATAGTGTTTGCCCCAACTCACCTCTACTCCTTATTTCATTGACAACAACATCAGCAGCTCGGGTACTACTTCCTTCCCCATGGCGTCCACCTCCAAGATCATTCACTACAACAGAAGCTCCTTTTTCACCAAAAAGCAAGGCATATGCTCTTCCCAAACCTACAACAGAAAAGTGTGAATATATTATTTAGAAAAATTATAAATAAATAATAAAACAAATTTAGAAACAGTACATTTACAAGTATATTAAAGTAACAAATATTTCTAACTAGGTTAATATTCAATATAAATTGTGTAAATCACTGCATATAAACTATTTGACACAAAAGGATATCAAAACAGAAAAAACAAAGATCAGCTAATACCATTTTTATAATTTGTAAATTTTAATTTTAAAAATGGCAAAAAATTTATCAAAGTACATTTTCCAAATGTTCCAAACTCCTCAGCCTTTAAAACTAACCAAAATTATATAAAAGTCTTCTTCCAACAACATAAATGCAAATTCAACAGCAATATTCATCAGTTATAAAATCTATGAATCCAGTAACAAACTATACTTTGATACGAATTTACTGTGTATAACAAGTCTACTGAATTAAATTGCAATAGATTACAAAAACTTAACACATTATGTTACTAAAACATTGCTCTCAATACCAGAGATCAAACGTATCGGAAAAAATGCTAGGTGTGTTTTGACGTTGCTCAATGGACACCATGTCACAGCTTAACACAACACAAAATAATATAAACTGAAAAGAAAGACTTCAGATGTACAATTAATTTTGCAGTTCTTTCAATTTTAACTGAACAACATTTTAAAATACACAAAATTTCTAGTTGAGGTAATTTTCTTCTTAGTGCTATAAACCTGAAGTTTGGTGGTTTGGTGGTAGATGGAATAGGTGGTAAAAAATGATATAATTGTTAATTTTCAGGGAACTGAAAAAATGAAAGGTTTAGTTTCTGATACACAATTTTTTATTGTTCAGCTGTCAATAGGTGAAAACAAGTAAACTCATAACAAAACAATTTTGTAGGTTGCCAGCTCTCTTCCACTACCTTCTCCTCAACAATAAACTTCTAGAAGAAAATTTAAACTCTCACAAATTATTACAGTAACCTATGAATCTATTTAAGGGCTTTGATTCTACTAATAACAACATACCAGCTCCTGCTCCTGTTACAACCACCACACGACCATCGAATCTTAATTCACCAACCATCTCTGATCTGGAGGAAAAAAAAAAAAGGAAAAGAAAATTATATATATTTTTTTAAACAAATCGTGAAACTTCACAAGAAAAACTACAAGTAATATATTGGTAATGTGGTGAGATTTTATTGCCATTTACAATGAAATAATTATCTGCATTGTCATTGCCCACAATAATTTATTACAAAAGCAGTTTTTGATGGCTTAGCTATCATCAGTTATCTAGTACAAGAAATATACAAAACAAATTAAAACAAAAGTCAAAAACAAATATTTGGATAATTAAATTACTAATAATTTAAATTTTAAAAAAATAGAATAAACATTTTAAACACTGAAAGAAAGAAAGAAAAAAAAATAAATAAAATTGAACATTTGAAACTTTTTGTAACTGAAAACATGACCCCACACTGCACTCTTCTGGGGTGACACAATAGACAGTGCATCACACCTAGGCAATTAACCTTCCTCCACCCCACAGCCACATACTTAAGCCCCTTGCAATGCCTGGACCCACATAGCCGTTTGTGGCTTCCATAGAGCTGGTAAAAATTGGCTCAACTTTTATTTCATATTTTCTGTTACAAAAAATTTCACATATTCAATTCAATTTCATTCACTTTCTTGTAATATTAAATTATTTAACTTCCCCCATTTTTTTCAGTTCTTAATTATTATTAATCTATTTATCCTAAATTTTGTTTTCTGACTCCTGTTTTAATTTCTTTTCTATATTGCTCGTGCTAAAAAACTGATGATGAGGGCTAAGCCATTGAGAGCTGCTTTTGTAATAAAAAAAAAATGTTGGCAATGACAATGCATATAGTTTTTTCATACAAGTAATATACCTTTTGTACAGAGAAAAACATGTCTGATCACTACAGTGACATTTCAACTTTATTTCTAAGCAAGGGACAAAATACCAGCAAAAGATATATCAAATTTCACACAAACAAAAACCCCCAAAACTCAAAATTCAATGTTTTGAAAAGCAAAACCCTCCATAATGAAATATTATTTTACTTATTAGTCACCGACTGAAGGATCAGAAAATCATCTTGGCACTTAATTAAACATAATAAATATCTGCACTGAGCATTGTTTATTAAATTTCGGTACTTATTATCATAAATCTTATAAAGTTGTAGATACAATGTACCTACGGTCGACTATAAACAGCGGTTGACAACAATTTATTTTCTATTTGAACACGAATTTCGCTGCGATAAAGTCTACGGATAATTGAAACTCCTCTACAAAAACGATACATGATAGTGCGACAATTACTGATTATGGTTCAAATTCTTACCTCACGTTTGCAAAGTCACGCCCACAGTGTAAAGTACAAGGACGAGAACAGACGATAACTTTCCCTTAAAACTACACTAGCTGACAAATTCAACCGAATAACAACACCGACCACAACGGGAACGACGAGGGAATGACAAGACAAGATTTCTTGCGCACGTACTTTTATTGACTGCCTGCCGACAGGCACCACCGGGACCTCGGAAAACTTCGGATCGTGGGCTCGTGGCTTCTCTGACTGCCGCCAACCTTGTTGAACCTTGCACCTGACCCTGACGATGTCGCACCATCAAGTTGTCCTTTCCACCATTTCAGATGTCCAATCGAAGAGTTATTTCTAATTTGCAAAAATACTCTACATAATATGCAGTATGCTCATTTAAATTCAACTATAAGACCTTTCATCACCTGTAAATCCAAAAATGAGCTATCATGTATTAGCTTTATAGAGTTATCACAGTGAAAACAAGTGTTTTTGAATTTCGAATTAGGTTGGTAACCATTTCTGCACTATTCATATGTCCAAATTAAAAGCTGAAGCAAAATGTATAGTGATGTATAGGTTAGCATTGGTAAGAGACGAAAGCTGTTGAAGTTTGTTGATTTGTTTTGATATCTGTGAACGTACGGTAACGTTGAATTGCGTCAGTTTTAACAGTGGATCATTCTCTTATTGAGACTATTATTGACGTGAATGTTCAGCTTTGTGAGAACCTAAAAAGAAAGTTGGAAAAGACTTCCGGAGAAGGTGCGAGTAAAAGTGCCCATTATTGGAAAAGACGAGCTGGGTGCATCGCGGTAAACTATGTCACGATTAGCAGCTGATGGTGAGTGACAAGAAAATGTCTTTCCACCCTAACTGGAGAGCTTTAGCCACAGTTGCGTATCCGTACAAACGTTTCGTTCATGAAAGCAGGCGAAACTATGATGAATCCGGAATCGGGAGTATCACATACAATGTGTCAGGTGTAGACTCTCGGGCTGTCTATGAAGAAGTATTGGCAGAACCATCTTCGAATATTAGAGAACCTAACAACAGTAATCTGCATTCCTCAAAGGTACCTGTTGTACCCAAGAAAGCACCTACTCCGCATTTGGACAGAAATCAGTGGGTGAATGCACTAATGAAAGAAGCCTCTGCCAACAATGTTGAAGGTATCAAAACCCTTCTTGGTGAAGCAAAAGAATTAAATGTTACAGACCAATTTGGTTGGACAATGCTTATGTGTGCTGCTCATGCCGGAGCAATTAATGTGGTAAAATACCTTTTAGAAAGTGGAGCAAATACAACTGTGAAAGATCGAGGTGGGAACACCTGCATATCACTAGCAAAGCGTCAGAAACATTATGAAATTCACATTTTACTAAAGAATTATCAAAATAATTGTGTATCTAAAGAAGAAAAACCAAAGGCACATGAAGAAACAAATAAAATATTTTGTGATGTGTGTAAACAGCATTTTGAAGAGGGTCCTAGCAGGCTCCATAAAAATTCAACAGTGCATTTGTTTAACACTCATCCTCGCAAACATTCAGCTTGGTATGGAATTCCAGACAGTAACAAAGGTTTTGAACTGATGGTAAAAAGTGGATGGAATAAGGAATTAGGCTTGGGCCCAGAAGGCTCTGGAACAAAGTTTCCCCCCAAAACAATTTTGAAACGGGACAGAAAAGGTTTTGGCATTGATTCAGGTGTAGCAAGAGTTACTCACTTTAAACCTCATGATACACGTGCTGTTGAAGCAAAGAATCGAAGTGAAACTAAGATTAAAAGTGAGCAAAAAAGATCAATAAAATCACATGTTTCATCAGAAAGAAGAAAGGAACGTTTTTTGAGACGGGAACTGAATTTTTGACATTTTCATTATGCAATGGACGTTTTCATCCAACACAAGTTATCTATTTTGGAGGCCAGGTAGAAAATGCATTTTTCCCCCTGACAGGATATGCACAAGACATAAGATCTAAATACCAACTGAATAGTGTGAACTGCATGTAATTCTTTTGTAAGCAATTCAAAGGTATCCAGTAGATTTAACTGATTCTCACGTGTTTAAAATAAGAAGTGCATTTCCTACATGCAGTGAACATTAAGAGTCAATTTTGTAAGAGGATGGTGAATACATGCACAGAAAGGTTTTCAAAAAGGCCTTGAAGATAATTTCAGAAGTTTTCAGTTTATAAGGAACACTCAATTTTTAGATTCTCTTTGTCTTCCTTCCCTTTTCCTGTTTACCTTAAACATTCAATTGTCAAATAAGCTCATTTGAGACCACCTTAAAAGTAGATATAAAAAATGTCAATTTTGTCAATGAGTATAAAAATGAAGTCTCAAATCTACTATCTGCAGAAAACATCTGCTCAAGAATTGGCAGTTTACTGACAAAACATTATACATCCATGGCCAAGAGCATAGGCATTATTTGTATGTATGCATACTCTTTTTATTCAATCGAATATTTTAAGAGCTATTAGTCTGGCTAATTTTTTGACCCCATAACTTCAAAATTATGCAATAAATAATATTACACTGAACGTTGTCTGTGCTTGTATTTTCTTTCTTTTAGGATTTTTTTGGAATTGGTTGATAACTGATACTTAATCCAAAATTCTTTGCAATTAAAAGATGACCTGAAAATTAATAAAATTTGTTGAAACTAAACTTTGTGTTATGTAATACATCTCAAGTGATGTAAAAGTTCTGTAGATCAGAAGAATAACACATTTTGGCTTTTCCAGATCTTGGCTTTCTGGAAGATCCCAAGAAAAGCCTCAAACATTTGAGTGAAGTGGAAAAATTGGGAGAAGAAATATTGGTTGACCGCCAAGAAATTGTGGCTTTGGACAAAAGGAGAAATCACAATAGAGAAGCTCTTAGAGCCTTAAAGAAAGGAGCTGGCAGTAAAACGTGGATGGCAGTAGGATCATTACTCATAAAGTTGCCCCAAGAACAAGCAAGTAAAGCATTAGAAAAGGGTATGTGATTTTACTCCTTTATTGGAACTTTCAATTAGGTTGATTTTCATTACATTTACAGCTATCTAGTAAGCCTTAAACTGTTTAACTCATAGTGTGCTCTTCATTGGTATTTGATTAGAACAAGTTTAGTGAACATTATAAGGGAGTAGTATATTGGTTGTTCATTTGATCAGTTCTAGTGCTTAGTTTGTTAAAATAGTTTTTTTGTAAGCCTTTGTTTATTTTACATGTTCTTAGTTACAATTAGAAATGAAGCAAAATTAACTTTACCTTCTTAACAGTTTAATTATAGTAATGAACAAAAAGAGTGAATAAAGAGGGGTAAAATTGCAAGAGTGGTATGTTCAAGAAGTGTTCATGAGCGATGTATGGAGTGAGTTTTCTTATATGCTGCAAGTGCAATTAAACTCCTTTATGCACGTGTTACATTCAATCTTTTTTCGTTTCCATTAAAGAATAATTTAAATTTTGATAGATTCAAGCATATCTTTACTATCCAAGACATACATTTGATGATGTATTGCTTCTGAAAATATATATTTTAGTGGGACTTGCATTGTGTTTTTTGCACAAAATATTTGCAACTGGAAGGTACTGAACAAATTGCAGATAAAATATTAGAAGCTGACAGTCATGAAAACCTTTCTTCCCATGAAAAGTAAAGACTGGTATGAGAGAGAAAGCATGTATGAATATTGGAGGGAAAAAAACTTGTCACTTCTCGCACATTTTTGCTATAGCGTACTTTGTAAAACTGGTAAACACAACTGATGTTTACATCTTTTACATTTGTAATCTTAAGATGAAGTGTTTCCCATGTAAATCCTTTGGTTTATTCAAATTAAATATGTTATGTTGTTCCTTAAGTCAACGAGCTTAACGTTTACTTTAATTAGTTAATTGATTTGTTATGTATGTGTATGTCGTAAGTACTGTAATTTGTGATGTAAATTTTTGTTCCTTTCATGGCTTACTGGAAGTACCTTAGCTATGCCTGTATTAGTTTCTTAATTACACAATATGGTTCCTTTCTTGAATTCTGTAGGTGTGAAGTTTAAAGTGCATGTGTGCTATTAATAGAGATAATCAATGATTTTTCATAGGATTAATGAGCATATTTAGTTAACTAAACGAAAATTAATTAATTAATTAAATAAAACACAGTACAAGAAACCTCATGAACCGAGCTGTGTGACAGGACAACAGTTAGCCAACAATTACATCTCTCTTGTGATTTTTAGTCACTTTATATTTTTACCACTTCAGATTTCAAAGAGGGTAGCTGTGCATGTAACAATAAAGGTCTCTACATATTTGCATTTTATTTTCCAGATCAAATGCATTTGGATGTTGAAATAAACAAACTAAGAAGTAATCTGAAAGTGAAAGTCAACGCTCTTCAAGACATGGAACACAAAGATCCCATTCCAGGACTAACACTACAACCTATGACTCACAAAGAGATGAGAACGATTAAGAGTGCAATGGGCATAAGTTCATAAAGTGTAATTAAAAAATTTAGGATCTTTTGAGATACGTTGATCTTTATATAACTGGAAGTAATGCATTTCTAACTTGTTAAAAACATGAAACCTTTTACTGTAAATATTCAACAGTAGGAATTATTGATAAAGAATGTGTTTTATATTTAAATTATTTCTGAACTTCACAGCTCTTACCTGTGTATCCATTTCCCATCAAATTGAGCAGAAGAGTTGTAGATGCATATCATTACCTTTTTTTATTGAAGGATTAGAATAAATGAATACTTGAAATATTATAGACTTCATTTTATCAAAATTTTCCTTAATATTTACATTCTCTCATAATTCTTAATACTTCAGCCTTTAACACTGAAAGTCTTCTTATGCTAGTTTGATTCTCATTTCTGTCCTGCTGCAAGTAATAGATAAGACTTATTTTGTATTATTTCTATAGGAAACTGTTTCATTTTCAAAAGAATTATGCATTGTTATACTTGTATGCTCATGATGGCAGCCATAGAGCATATTTAGAAAATAAGTACAAACACTGCACAAATTATCAATCACAAGAACTATCGCTTTTAATGTTTCTTGTATTAAACGTCACTACAAGTAAAAATATGTATTTTAAAATAAGCATTTGTTTAACCTTAATTTTTAAAGGAATATAAAATAGGAAAGCTGATTAGTGGTGAATTATTTATGCTTCTTTGCATTATCAGCAAACCAGTTATGTACGAAGCTAAATTCTGACGGTCCTGGAATTTTTGTTCCCACAATATCTTCTCCTGGAGACCACTGGAACTGCCACACAGTATGTGGTTCTTCTTCTTTAACAACATCTCGAACAAATGTTAGGAAATGATCACAGAAGTTCATGCACAGAGCTGGGTCCCAGATGCCCTATGGGAAACATTCACAGCAAATGAGAAGAATTTTGTTTATATTAACACATCAAATTTTAACTCACCTTTGCTTTTCTGGGGAAGTCTGAAACTTGCATCTTCTCAACTTGATGAATGACACCATGATCATCACGATATCCACACCAGATTTTGGTTATCCCAACCAGGAAACTCTGACACCACCACTTGATAAGTTTATACCTAAACATGAATGAATGTTGACAAAATTAAAACCTTACACAAATATTGTGAATTAAATTTTTTTAAAGTTTCAAGAAGCAACTGACTTTTTGAAATTTTCAGCTTGTTTGGGGTGTTGGATTTTCCTGTTGGTTTTCAGTTCTATGAATTCAGCTGCTTGAAGATCTTCCAAATTTTTTACAACATCACTACTTTCAACTCCATCCATTTCTGCTCCATACATTAACCTGTGTAGATTGAGCTTAGATTTGAACATCACACAGAATTCTTCATTTTGGTTCTGTGCTACACTGAGATCAGGTTCTGCATCTGGGGAAGCTGGTAATAAAATCAAACAAGCAATTTATACAAAATTTTATATCGATAGTCCAGTGGAGACAAATGGTAGTAACAGTAATGTGGAAAGTTTTGGTTTAGTTTTGATAATAGGTTTATTTATGTCTTGCACTTCTAAACATGAATATTAGTTTCACTAACACAAATTTTCCCTCCAACATTGCAACTTTAACCCTCTAACAATTAACATTTCAGTTACAAGATGATTCATCTTAAAATGCTTTTTTTAAAGTTTAAGTTTATAAAACTTTACTTAATTCCTTTGTTGGAGCTAATTCTTGGGCATAAGTTGTATCTGCTTGAAGGAGCAACTGTATGGCAGGCTTAAAAAAAATGTTCAGAGGCAAAATCAGAGTTGGAAAATCTGATATTAGTGATTAGCGTCCCAAACATCAAAACTAACCTAATCTTTGCTTTATTTTCTTCCATTGGACTTAACTAAGAACATATTGTAAATATTTATGAATTTTTCAAATGTATATTTTGGGCAGTTGAAGGAGGGGTAAACTTTGATCTGGTTGCATTTTTTTAGAGTAGTTACATTTTTAGAAGAGCAATTGTGAAATTTTTAGGAAGTTTCTATGGGGGATACAGACTAAACCTTGTGTGGGTGGATTCAAAAGGTTTTTTGCCCCGAATTTGTCTGCTGCACTAGATGCACAATGTATGATTTCCAATTCTTTCAAGGTTTTTGATTAGATTAAAAATTTTTCACATATTTAGTTCCATTTTTTATGTAATACATTTATATAATGACGTGTAAAAACGCACACAACTTAACAAGTTGGTTATTTTTTGGGAAATAAAATTCACTCTTTGCTCTGCACTTGCAAATTGCAACGGTGAGGAGTGGGTGGGCGGGTGCCTGCGCCTGCCTGCCGTCGCACTCTGGGCCAGCCTCCTCCCCGCCCCGGCGTTCGCGCCTCAAGTCCGACCGAATGATCTTAAGATTTTGTTTTGTGTTTTTTAGGAGTGAAATGTGTAGGTTGTCGCACGCAACACTACTTCAGGTTTGTTCTGGGTGACTTTCCCAGGAACAGGACCTTCATTCACCCACCCCCTCCAAGATCAAGAATCGTCAACACAGAAGAGTGAGGACCTCTTTATGCCTGTGCCACTGCCCCTCTATCTGCTCTAGCGTGTTGTGCGGGGCGTCACATGATTGGCGACCGTGACAGGACCCGGCAATGCAGGTTCCATTTCGCAATAGGGTGGGCATATCTACTTCCATTTGATTGTGAAGCACCTTCAAATAGGTTGAAGTGCAGCAAGACATTGAGCAGAGTAGTGAATTCGGGTCCGTGAAGGCTACGTGCTTGATCTTAGGAAGTGCTATCTAAGCGTATTTTGAGTGTCGGGGATGCACCGTTCCAAGCTCCCGAAATGCGGTAGTGTAGTGTGTGTGTGCGTGTGTGTGTGTAAGTACAGTAAAGATCGCGCACGGTCCGTATGTTAGGGTTCTGCTCCGACAGTCGCCTGGTGTTCATGGGAGAAACAACGGAAAACTGCATATCAGAGCAGCCGGTCCCTAGAACTCTCCTGCAGACAGCGTCTGCATTCGACCTGGCTGACAATTGCTGGAATGTTACATCATTATCCTTCGCGAATAGTTTTCAAGTAGATTTGAAACTGCCAATTAAACTTCCAGCCCGTCTTTGGGTGAATTGACGACGCCGTGTTTCTCCGTTTTCAGTTTCTTGATGACTTAATCCAGATGTCGGTATCCAAGATGTACTTATAGGATGACATATCGCACACATTTCTCCATTCATCACCTTCGTGTTTTCTTACAAGAGCTTCAACATCATTAAGCTTATGTTGCCTATAATCAGATGTCGGTATTTTAATCCATTCCACCCTATTTGTTTCTGATGTGGATTTCTTCAGAAAGATCCTTCTAGCAACAGACATTCTGAAGTTCCACTCACGAGATGTAACTGTCACTGCTCTTTTCCAGTCATAAATCATAAAATCTTCTTTCACAGCGACAGTCTAAGCAATTCTGTCTGTATTCGCGTCGCTTCACGAAGGTTTCGCCCTTCCTAACAACTTTCCCTATTCTGCCAAATTCTCTACTACCCATTGTTGAAATTATTTTCAATAGAAGGTAAAAAAAAATAAAAGGAGATAGTTTTGAACCAATGTAAATATTTTGTGTGTGGATTGAATAAGTTAAGTTTTGCAAGAGTATACCTGAAGGATTAAGAAAGTTTTCAAACAGTATGTCATATTTTATGATAACTTGCAAAGGGAAGAAGTCGTGACACTATGAGACACATACGAGAAATGATAGTCCCATGCAGTTTTCTTCTTTAATATCACGTATGTAAACAGCGTTTTGCAGCTGAAATGTTTGTTCATTAAAATCGTTTGTGGGCTGCAATGCTGGCACAACTCGAAAAATGAAGTTTGAAGTGGAGGAAATGAAATGGAGATAAATGCGTTTAAAGTTTTAAGTAGTAGTTGAATTACATGTATCACATGCTTATACTTCGGTTTTCATAACGTGGTGCGCCAAGGCCTGTCTCCACGATGAAGTATCTCACGGCATTTCGTGTCTTTCTCGGTCGTGCCGCTAGATGCCATATCATCGTGACCGTATTAAGCACTGAGGCGGAGGCAGTTGCAAATGTCTACCTCACAATACAAGCCTCGATGCGATTAAGCAACAGACTAACGTGTAAAAACACCAATTTTTTCTCTTTTTTTTACTCTTTTGCATCACTCTTTAACAGCACACTATTAAAATATTTTGTTGGTTGTCATATGGGGCTTATGACATTTTCCCACTTAATCATGGACACCGCGTAGGATTGATTGACTGTGAACACGTGTACTGCAAATATTTACCGATGCAATTGTCGGTCTGCGGCTACAAAAAATAATTGGCGAAAGCTTTAGTTCAAACTGCGCGTCCATAAATAATAAACTTAATATTTTAATGAACGAACATTTTAGCAGCAAAACTCTGTTAGCATGTGTAATGTTAAGGAAAGAACTGCATGGGACTATCATTTATATCTAACTATCTAAAGCACAAGACATTAGTTAACACTGAAGATATGCGAAAATTAATTCGTGCATTCTAGGAATTTTGTTTATTTCTATAAGCCTTGGTTTGTGTCATGCGTTCAATGTTATGCCGCTACATACTGTTATAACAAACAACAGAAATGCATTTTCGTAACTTAAATAGATTAAATGAATGCACACATAAAACACTCGGTGTTATTTAAGTACTCTAGTGTGCGGCAAGCGATATTCGGGATACCCCGGGATGGGGTAGGGATGGTCTGAGAATATTCAATGTCCAGTGACATTGGTCGAGGACACCTCGGCTTGAAGGAGTATCTTCAGCCGATAGCTTCACACCATAAGATTCAATCAGAATATATGGCTGTCGGTTCAGATATCCGTGCACGAGGCGCCTGTGCAGATACATATGTCGGGATTGTGGCAATTCGCAATCAATCCCTGGGTCATCCCGTTTTCCAACTGATGACTAAAGGACAGCTTGTCAGCAAGGCGAACGCGGAAATGTTTAGAAGACAAAAACTGACTTAAGAACAGTTTGAGTCGTCCCCAAGAAAGCACGATGCAAAGGATGGTATACCTCCAGGTGATGTCGACGGATATGTCAAAGAAAATTGCTGCTGTATTGTAGCACCAAACAAGAGGAGTTGAATAACTAAATAAGTGGTCCATGGTTGAGTGGAACCTTCTGAAAGCTCATTGGATAGGTTGCTCAGCGAGCTTCTCTGTTCCACGAGCCAGAACAAATGTTTCTCATTTGCTCTAAGAACTTGCAAGTACAGCTAGTGAGTGAGATTGGGCGGTAGGTTAATAGGATTGTTTTCTTCTGTACTATCCTCTCTTGAGGATTGGGGAAACAATGGCTTCGCGCCTGCTCCTAGGAATGGAGTGCTCAACCCACATCCGAATGAAGAGGGGAAGGAGGAAGTTTCGTGCCTTTTCCGATAGATACTTTCGCATTTCTTTGCGGATCTGGACAGGATCAGGAGGAGAAATTGTATCGCGAGCGACTATTATTACAAGCGTTATAATATTTCTCTAGACTACTCGAAAAAATCAATGTATAGTTATCCAATCTTCTCAATATTGAGAGCTTGAGGCAAAGTGAGAGGAACGGGATGTTCTCATAACAGGCCAATCCCTCAACTATACACCTCGGGAGGTTGCAATTCCACTTATTTGCAACTCGGGGACAGTCGATGGGGGAAGTCTTCCAGATTTGTTGCACCTTTCGTTATACTAGGGGTATATGCCGTGAATGTGAGCAAATAAAGGCTCTTCGGAAAGCGGCCTTACTTTCTCGTATGACCAATCTAGCACATACCCAGGTTCTTTTATTGATCCAATCTGCAGTGGTGAGAAACCTGGTGCACCTTGCCAGTGCCCACTTGCGATTACGCACCGCTGTGGCACAGTCGGCACTACTCCAAGCGCAAGGCCGTACCGCGGCCGGTCCGTCGAGTACGCGATTTCTATGGAGGCAAAATGTCATCGACGTCGTTTGAACAAATGTATATATTAGTATTTCTTTGCTGAATGTATCGAAATCCGATCGATGGGTTAGACGCGCGGGCAACGTTCGAAAGAGGAATGTCAAAGTGGTCGAGACAAGGGAACCGGTCTTTCTCGTGCCAGTAATCCAGAACAGTCCACTCCAAGACAGTAAAGAGAATCGAATGCAGTGCACGATCGATGGATGAGAAAGTTTTTGAGGCCAAGGTAAAGTGAATGTAATTTAAAAGAATTCAGATGAATTCGTTTCTATTAGTCAATATTTTCAAGAATATCACCTCAGGCAGGATTGTTTGCATTGAAATCACCAATAAGAAACAGTCGGGTAGCGGGAGGTAACTTCAAATTAGCCTTGTAATAACGCTTGTGCAGGTAGTATATACACACCGAAATTGATGGTAGGTTTAGCCGTAAGTACACGGTCTGTACGTTAGTTC